AGGCATAGCGAAAATTACGAAATTCAGAAAAAGTGCTCAAACGTTCAATTCTATAAATATTGTCATCAATTGTGATGTCTGAGCGTCATCACGATCATTACATGATCAATTGATTTAGATGCTTGAGAACAGCTTTAGTCTTGTATAACAACATGCTGAAAGCAAGTATTACATAGTAATATAATATTACTGAAGTCATATAACTTTCTAAGTATAATTAGAATTGTCTTATATACTTGTTAAACCTCACCATAACATGTAGTACTTAAAAAAACAGAGAAAAACACTAAATAATTATATAATATTAAGATCTAAAGTATCTGTAATTAAACTGCAGTAGCAGAAATTAACTTGAAATATAGATTAATAATATTTAGATAGATGAGTAAAAGGAGATATCTGTCAATAAAATATATATCAACTCTGTTATATGGTAAACCTAACTAGGTAACAGTTTTTGACTTGATATACAAGTTCATAAACAAATATCAGAATACTTTAGAAAAAACAATAATATAATACACCAAACTAGAAGATTATAAAGATCTATAACATGAAAGTTACCAATTTGAAAGTTGTATAGAAGTGAAAAGGTGAATAATGCAAAGAATATAGTTTAGCTAAATATAGTAATTTTAGGATGCAAGAATAACATTAGATATGGGTTTGATTTTTTTTTATTGACAAACAATTTAATAACAATATCTCCTTAGAGTAGAAGTTACTTTGATCACTAGTGTTGGTCTTGATCATAGCATATTGGTAATACAACTAAAATATATTTGGACACCTATTAGAGTAGCCAAATAAATGTTAGATTACTGATTAGGTTAGTATAGCATAGTAATAGACTATAATATAATTTAAAAATTATGTATGTACTTATGAAGTAGATCTAATAAAGGTATCACTAGCTTTTTTAGCCAAATTTTTAAAAAAAATACAGTTTTCAAATATTTATCTATTTATTGCTGCATTCAAGATAGTTAATAAAAAATTTTATTTATAAATACCATAAATACAATTATTTGATTACTTTAGATTATGCATGCTGACAAAATTATTTTAGGTTTCAGAGTATGAAATTAAAATTTGAAGATGAAATTGTTTTTGATCTATTTTACTTAAAAGATGAAATTTTTTGACATTTTTTTTAAAGAGATGAAATTATAAAGAACATAACTACCTAAATTAGATTTGTTCTTACATATAAAAAATTCTAAATTGCTCTAATGAAAATAAAATAGGAGTTTTTTAAAAACCTATTTCGGTGGCATGTATATTTTAGATGTTTTTAGGCAAATAGTTTGGGATGATAATCTAATGGGTTTGATGCACTATTATGTAAAAAGATATAATGAACTTGCAAAAAAAAAAGCTAAATAAGGTGTTTGTACACTGTTTGAACTACTCTATTCAGGGCCCAATATACACCATATGTTGAATCTATTACCTATGTCGAAATAATAAACCGGATCGGCCGAAAAATCATTCGGTTAATTTTTATTAGGTGTTCCAAAAATTATGAAAATAGCAGTAAATGCGGGTCGGGCAGGACCATAGAAATTGCTAATTTGCAGACCTCTAGTTCAAACATTTATTTCTTGCATTTTCGTTTTTGCTTTGTTTTTTGGTTCGTTTTTTTTTCTTACGGAATTTTGTCTGCGACAAGATTATAGTTTTAAAGGTATTGAGATTTCATAATAAAGACTTCTGCTAGTATAATTTGGTTATAGATGTATACATATCGGTTTTTTGTTCGTGACAATTTAGAACTTCGATTAATTTCGATTAACCAATAAAATTTTTACTATTTCACGGGATGATCCACAAAAACAGACCAATCACAATGAAAGCCCGATACTGGGGACTCGAGTCAACTCGTACGTAGCTTAACTCGAGTCAAAAGACTATGTTTTTTAAGCTACGAGTTGACTCGAGTCCAGTCTCTACTGGGGAAGATTCGCTTTAGGCGACCTTGATAAAGCAAATAGTAAAGTTACGCCGATTTTTACTATGAAATTTTACCCTTTAACTGCGAACTACCCCTTAAATATTTGCTCAAAGTTTAAAAAAATAAAAATAGAATGATAATCATTATTGTTTTAAATCTTAGGTACTAACACAATAATTTGCAACATGCATAACTAAGCACAAACTCAAAGAAATCCGACATTGATATAATATTATCATTTAGGGATTTGTTTCTTAAAAAGTTTGTATACAATGCAAATAATTTTGAAATTTGTATGCATATAAACTTCTTTTTTTTTGGTGTACGTACGTACATGCATAATACAGTCAAACTGCCGTTACGTATATCACCTCTTTTGTCAAGGGAGTTTTTGGATATATAACTTAGGTGGAGATATAATTGGGACATAAATATAGAAGCAAAAATACCAAAAGTGACTCGCTTTTTATTAAATCTTATTTGATATGTCAAAACGGCATTCGGTTCATAACATATGATGCATTTAGACTAATATGAGCGGTCCCCAAAAGTCAGGTCTTCGTGGGTCCTCGTGGGACCACTTAACATCACCATATTTCATAATTTGGACTTGGAATTTTTGGACTGACTGTCCAAATGGGGAATTGGGAATTGGGTTTGGGTCTTTACATAATTCATCTATGGTAAACTCTAGAAAAGGAATGACAACTAAAGTTAGGCGTTTCTAGAAATGGATAGCAACCTTAGAATTCTTTCATAAGCGTTAAAAGATTGATTATGCCAGCCCTTTGTTTATTCCATTTAACAAATCGGGAATACCTAAGCAAAAGTAGCGATAGTACCAAAAGCAAGAAATCGCAAAATACCTTATCACATGATTTATACAATTGTTTTGCAATATTGGCTAGGGAATCTTTTCAGACCCTGATTAACGGTCAATTTTATGCAGAAATTGCATTTATTAGGTTAATACGTATCACTTAATGATTGTTATAATTATATTGTACGTACGTACGTACGTAGATATAATAACAAATATCAATATGGATAAATTAAAATTTTCCAGTTAAAAAAAAGAAATTAAGAATCATTCGATAAATTGCATCTCTCCCTTTTGGTTTATTGAGATTCATAATGGCAAGGGAGCCCTCAACTTTCACCCATTCCAGTATGGACATTCAAATAATGACTGCGGAAAATGTGCCAATACAAAACGATAATGTAGTAATTGCTTCTATACCACAAAGTGAATTAGGTATATTATAATTTCTGTGTGTAAAAACATTAATATAATTCATGTTAACGTGTGTTTTTCTTTTTTCAGCGATGTCAAGCAATTCGTTCAACGATCCTCCTCCATCTTTTGCTGAGTCTCAAAGGCAGAAATATCTCGAAGAACAAAATTTTACCCGAATTCATCGGATTCAAATTACTGATAATGGAATTCTTGATAATGGAATGTTAAAAACCACATCAACGCCGTCTCGAACTCCAAACCTAAGTAATGCTTGGGAATTTGCTGGGTACGTTCAATTTTAGTTATTACAGTATAACTTCAAAGATTTATACGTTTAAAACTCGATTTTACAGATGGGGTTCGACCTATTATATCGATCTTCCACAAAATTCTCCCGAGCCTTCAGAATCAAAACGTGTTTTACTCGGTCAATGGCGTGCCACTAGTATATCCGGAAATGACCTTGTTGCATCGGTTCTTTATACTATTGGATTATGTACAACAGTGGCTGGAAAATTCGCTCCCATATCACTGTTAATAATTTCGATCATCCTTTATCCATTCAAGGGTATTATGAACGAAGTTGGTACTGCCTTACCTTTAAATGGTGGCTCTTACAATTGTCTATTAAACACTTCTCCAAAATGGTTTGCTGCCGTTGCTGCCGCTTTAAGTTTATTAGATTATGTTGCAACAGCTGTTGTTAGTGCTGCATCTGCTATATCTTATGTCTCCAGACCATTGAATTTGTCTGATTCTGTCATGTTTTGGCTTACTATTGGCATGATGGTGTTATTTGCTAGTATTGTGGCGTTAGGACTTCGAGAATCTTCTAATGTCGCTTTTATAATTTTCATTGTTCATTGTTTGACATTGACTCTATTGATGATTACATGTCTGGTCCGATGGATTATCCAGGGAAATAGTATACTGATCGAGAATTGGAAAGATCCTGGCTCTGGAAATCCATTACTTGACATTTTTAATGGTGTATGTGTAGGACTTTTAGGGATCACTGGCTTTGAAACGTCTTCTAATTACATAGAAGATCAAAAACCTGGCGTCTTTCCAAAGACTATGCGAAATATGTGGGTGTTGGTTCTTGTATTCAATGCTCCCCTTGCATTTTTTGCAACAGCGATAATGCCCTTATCAACTTTCAATGAGCATCAAAATGACATAATTTCTACTTTGGGTGACTATGCTGCCGGAAATTGGTTGAAAATTTTCATCGTCGTCGATGCATTTATCGTATTAGGTGCCGGCGTATTGACCGGATTCATTGGTGTCACAGGACTGATTTATAGGATGGCTTCCGATAATATATTACCTCAATTCTTGCTAAATAAAAATCGGTTTACTGGGACTTATCATTGGATTATCTTAAGCTTTCTTATCTTTTGTATAACTCTATTCACTATAGTTAACGGTAATATAACATCATTATCTGGTGTGTTTGCTGTATCATTTCTCAGTGTTCTATGCATGGTAAGTTCTAATTCCTCACACAAGTTTTGATAATTTTATTTTTCACACAAATTTTGATAATTTAAATTACTCTTTCCTTAAAAGTTTGCAATTGGGAACATTTTTCTCAAATATAAACGTGGGAGATTATATCGACCAGTAAGAATTTTATTTATTTCATAAATATAGTATATTTATTTATTTTTAATCGTTGAAATTTCCTAAATTGTGTCATAGATTCGTGTATCTACTGGAACTGCACTTTTTGGTCTTGCATTTATCTTGAGTGGGCTAGTAGGAAATATAGTTTACAACCCATCCATAGCTGAATACTTTGCAATTTACTTTGGAATCTTATTTATTATCATGTGGCTTATGTTGAACAGGGTTTGGTTTCTAAAAACAATTTTCTTCTACTTGGATAAAACCGTAAAGTTGCATAAATATAAATTAGATGATATGATTATAAGATTAATCAAAAAGTTGAAGAAACAACCTGTTGTATTTTTTACCAAAACTGATGAACTTCATATTCTTAATAAAGGTATATTCATGTTTAATATTTAATTCATCTATTTAACACATTTCTTATAAACATTTGGTTTTCATCTGTTTTCTACTTAGCCATTTTATACGTCAAAAATTCGGAATCTACTGGATATTTGAAATTGATTCATATTTATGACAAGATCGAAGATGTAAGTATGTCAATTGAGAACGTGTGATCTCACTTATTTATGTTACTGTTCAATATCTTATATTTCCTTACTTCAATCAAGATACCTCCACGACTTGAGGCAAACCATCGTGTCCTTGATGAGGTATGTACTCTCTCTTTTGTAGCATTTAACACCATCGATCATTTTTAACTTTTTTCCGCGTATCAATTATCCGACTTACAGTTATATCCAAAGATACAAATTGATTTGGTAATAAATTTATTAATGTATAAATACGTTATAATTTAAGGCTAACTACTTTTATAGATTTTAATTCAAGGAGCATTTAATCCTAAAACTGTGGATTGTATTTCGCAGCACTTCCAAATTCCGAAGGTATGTTCATATTTAACTACAGTCATATGATGTTATTTTGCATTATAAAAATAATATTTTTTTTTATATATTACTGTCCTTGTATTTATAGTCTCTTATGTTTATCTCATGCCCTGGTAGCGATTTTCCTTATAAGTTCGGCGAGTTTGGTGGAGTGAGGACTATAATGTTGTAACATAAGTTGATCAAATCCAGCTTATAAAAGTCGCATAATGATAAGATTTATATCAACATGTCTACAGATTGTATAATCTTCTAATGTAATTATTTAAATTATGCATAATTATTACTATTGATGTAGGTAGAAACTATTAACTTGCTGAATAGAATAGAAGACAAAACGCCTTATGTGGTTACATACAAGAAGTTTTAGAATATGGGTGCCTCGTATTTATAGTTACCGTCCAAACCTAATTAGTTTGGGATTTGGGGACTTTTAGGGTATTAACCATATTTTTGAACTAGTTAAAGCTTTGGGACTCAACCTGTTCCAAATTTGCGAATTGGGATTTGAGACAAAATTTCAGATACAACCTGTTGGACAATAGTTATAACTAAAAGGCATGCCATAGATAATAGAAGTTAATTATTATATAATAAAAAAGATTCACAAATGAATTTAATGTAAAAAATTATGTTTCTATTTGAAGACCATTTAAACTCAATTTTAAATTTGATTTATTCGAAATTGTTTAATGCCAAAATGGGTATATACGTGCTATAGGTACGTACTATAGATACAGAAATATTACCTTAGGGTGTGCAACGGTCTATTAAAATTATATAGTCAGGGTTACTAATGATCATCACTAATTGCGGATTTTCTAATG